GTAGTACGGGGTCTCGCTGCTCTTGGTCTGGCTGCTCCCCTTTGGCCTTCCTGGCATGGTTGCACCTTGTGGAACGAAGTTCCAGCCAGTGTAGCCCGCGGGATCATTGCAGCACTGAAGCCCGATCACCACGTCAAGGTGGCTGCTTTAGGTCGGTTTCCCGATTTTTCAAGACAGATTGACTTTATTCGACTTCACTGCTGTAGGTGAGTTGGCTGTGGTCACAAAATAAAATCAAAGAAGAAGCCGTAAAATCCGTTCGATATAGTAACCAAGCGCGAGTCCTTTCAGAACTACTCATTAGGTCTGTGAACGATTCTGTTATCCAACTGTTTCGATAGCATCAAGATGTAAGAGACTAAGAATGAGGACTTGGGACGCTAAATCCACAAATAGCATGCGATCCCCACAAGCAATGGCTGAATCACCTCGTCCTAAGCAGGATTGAATATCCGTGTTCATACATGCTCATAGCTTACATCCGCTATTTTCGCTTCAGAATTGTTTTTCTGAATTCTGTCGACTGCATAGCTATTTCCAGTCCACTAAACCCACGCTTCGGGTGTTCCTTCAAATCGAACTGTCCCCAGGTACGATAAAAACTGGAGCTAAAGTTGATTCCAGTGTTCATTTCATGTCTAAAGTATGAATAAACTTCTTCCCGACATAAGGATAGATGATGTCATCCCACATTACTTGACCTTGATGCAACTATTTTGTTACTATGTATCATACCACACAACGTCAATGGCTTTTCAGCAGCAAGTGATAATAATGTCTTTTGAGCGGGAAATACACGGAAAGCTCATTTTACAAGTAAGAAGAAATCCACTACACTTGCTTGTAAGCGCCCACTAGTTGTTTTTGGCTGGACTTGAGATTCTTAGCTTCTGAAGCACACTTAACCGGATGAAACTGAGTGCAACATGAAATCAAGTTTCTACACTTTCTAGAACACTATTTCCCAACTTGACAGCTTTTCGCTTTACAGATTGCGATACAGGTGCTTCCCTGAGTTTCATCTGATGACGAATGTTCCTTCATCAATAGGAGTAAATTCGTCACTTTGTTACAAACAACTTATTCACAACAAGTAATAAGTTTTTGCAACCCAGAGTTTACTTTTTAGAAACTTATTGAAACCGAGATAAAAACATGTAAATATCACTTGTATTACTTGTGCTTCAATACGTTTGTTAACTAAGGCCACTCTCCGACGTATCTCCTCATCCCTTCGATTATCCAATATTTTACGCTGTTTCTCCAACTCCTTCAGAAGGGCACCTTCTGCCTCGGCTTTTCCGTCGCGCTTATCCTGGTGGCTTGCGATAAATTCCAGGTACTCTTTGTTCAGCTTTTCTCTTTTGTGCCGCTTGGCTTCTTGCTCTCTGCAAATGGTATCAGTTTGACGCATGACATGAGAATTCTCGAACAGTTCCGTTTAATGTTATGTACTAATGCTAAGTCTTGTGACATCAAAAAGGATTCGTCAAAATTTTAATAATATGAGGTGCCTCTAACCGGGCACCTCAATTTTTCCGTCCTTTACCAAATACTACGCCGTGGCACCTAAATAACTTGAAACAGTCCATTTTTTCGAGGTGAAAAGAATTTCCCGGGGTGTTCGTGGAAGAAAATTTCCGCTTTAAAAAAGAACGCTGATCAAAAAATGGGGTTTTGGACTTCTTTACCTATGACAATTTAAGGGTCACCGAAGACAAAGTGGCTACGGTATATGAAAATGTCCTCTAGCGAATCATTTTAGCTAACGTTGACTGCAACATTGCAGTCCCCACTCGATTTTTCGAGAGGTTCTACAAAGGAACCAGGTAATGTGCACCAATGTTGTCACAGAATCAGCGGATCGGACCACCTCAAGTATACAGTTCTCCAACGACTACAGAAACATGCATCAAGGTGAGTTGAAATTTTGTGTGAGATTTCAAATGACTTCTGAACGTGTACCTTACTGTGGGGTGTAAAAACCATGCGACACTCTAAACTGTGATCAGCTACCCATAGATTCACTGGTTAGCCCTGCAACCAAAATATATTGATGGAATTTGTCTACTCTTGTTGGGCATTCTAGGTCTTAAGCGCCCCCTGGCTGAGGTATAATCCATTGATATATCTTTACCCTGAAGTGCTTGGCGCTGCTTACCGCCCAGATCAAAATTTTTGAACTTACACAGCTGCGCTATATCAGTTCCCATGCTTCTCCCATACCACAAAGTATTACCTCATTGTACGTATTATGAGAAGTGATAAAACAAGCCTGCGATTGGCTCTACTGTGCAACTGGGAGGAAACAACGCATATCGGGTAGTATGGGGTTATGGTCTCTGTATCCCTCAACGTCAAGTACGGTGTGGTAGACCATCTGTCATGCGATTCTTGGGTGCCTTCACGTACAAATATTCAAGTTCTTGCGAGTGATATTGCTGAGATGATTCTTTGTTGCTAGCCTTTGTGCTCATTCTATGCATCCCAAATTACATTGTTTACCTGAAGAATTAGAGTAAGTCACATCCTCGGGAACACCTGAAACGCTTACAGTATTGGTTCAACTGTAAAACCGTTTTGGTGCCTAGCTCTCATATCTCTCAAAGCAAGCACGAGGATTGGGATACTGCTAGGCCGATGCGAGAACAGTCGAGGTATAGATGTTTGGCCTTACGGACAGTGATTTTACGCGTTAGCCACTGGGGTATCTCAAGGCACCAATGTGGATAACAGTCGCGGTACTATGTAGACGCCCATCTCCTACTATTCCTTTGGATTACCCATGTCGAAGTATGCCAAATGAAAGTTTCCGGAAAGATAGACATATCCTCTTTTTTTAGACCAGCCTGTTTTCGCTTCCCTAAGAGAAATGAGTTGACCATAAGATGCCATTTTTAAATATCCTTGGAGCAAACAAACGTTGTAAAAACTCACGCTTTAATACGTTCGTTTTCTTCGGCAACAATATCTTCAATGAGCCGCCTTGACTCTTCTTTCTCTGCCAGTTCTGCCCGATGACGAGGAGTGTCCCCCGTTCTCTGTGAAGGTTGGTGGTGAAGAAAATAAAGGTGGTTAGGGCAAGTTGTTTGCACCATGATCACTGCGAACGATTTTTAATATGGAGTCGGAAAGCTTGGTTTCCATTTAGCCCGCTAATATATCAACATCAAGGTGTACTTCTATTCAATCTAATTCGCATACAGGTTACCACGTGATTTTGATATCGGGATTGAAGGGATTGCCTGAATGCTAGTTAATCACATAGCTGATTAGTCGTTCACGGCAGAACGGTTAGGTGTTTAACCAACTACCTGGGATGTTGTGGACTCTAAACACCCAGAAGTCTTGCAAGTTACACTGTTGATTAATATGAATGAAACTGAAGCAGCTGCGCAGTGTTTCCAGGGTTTTTCAGAATAGGCTCGCTTCAACTACAGGACAAAATATCCAGCAGTGAGTTTGCCGAACATGTCCTCTTCGACAGGTTGTTTCAGCTCCGGTAACCTCGAGATCACTAGCCATTAGGTGATTATTAATCAAGAGGTTACCTTCTTAGCATGCCAGACAGTAGTTAGATCATTTATATATTGCAGAGAATTTTTTTGACACTACTAGGTATGTAAAAGATTTCTGATTACTGAAAACAGGGATAGAAAATCAGTCCAAAAACGCCTTTTGCTTCTCATGTTATTACTGAACCATTTACATGATGCCATGGGCATGTAGAATCACAGAACCAGTGTGTGTTTCAAAATCCCTTCATGATGCCTGGTTCCAAGCCCGACCAAGATCGATCGATCCAGAGTGCTGAATGTCGAAAATGGTTTTGTAACCCAACATCTTTCCATCGCTTAAAGTTGTTTTCACCTTTGGGGAATAAATCCGACTCGAGTTTGTTTGTTTTTAACGGATAGATGAGGACACACTGCTTATGGAACAGGAGTTTGAGGGGACAAACTCATAGTAGTCAATGAATAGGTGTGCATTGTGAACGGTTTTAAGTTAATGTGCGCCACTAAATGATGGTTAAGGTCAAATTGGGACATTGATTTCTCTCTACTGGAAAAGGCTCATTACATTTGTCCTCCCATGATTACAACAGGGCGTTCCGCGTAATTGTGTGATTCACCGCAAATCAAGGGTGAGTGAACGTGCATTAGGTGCCGATCTCCCAGAAAACAGTCACTTTTGATTGGTTGTTTGTTTGGCAGATACCAAAAATACGATCAAGCGACACTAAATGGAACAGTCTGTTAACTGTATATGACTTTGGGTACAGTAGAACCATCCGTATAACAGAGCGAGTCATTAATAGGTTGCATTCAAATTGGGCATCATTGGGTGCTTTCAGGAAGGATCTTCAAAGGTTCGAGCAAAAACTGCTGAGAACATGGAGAAAAACGCGACTGAGCACAGGGTGTAGCCTTTCTCCCAGATGGCAATGCTTTACCATCTGCTTATCCAGCACGAAAACTGTAGAAGAACTCTGTAGTTCAACCTTAGGTTGACCTAGTGGCCGTGGGCTTCTTGTCTGGGCCGTAATTAGAATCACTTTAGCATCGCATTCACATCACTTCATAAGCATATACTTTACATTACTTTACTGTGGAAGGGAGACAGGAGAAAACTTTATTCTATACTTTCTTTATTCTATACTTTATTTATATGTATATTTACTGTTATTTATTTATATTTATTTTTTATTTTTTATTTTTTCTATTATTATTTCATTTTTATTTTATTTTACTTATTTTATTTATATCTCGTAGCCGTGGGCTTCTTGTCTGAGCCGTAATTAGAATCACTTTAGCATCGCATTCACATGACTTCATACGCATATACTTTACTTTACTTTATTGTGGAAGGGAGACGGGAGAAAACTTTATTCTATATAAACTTTATTATACTACTATTTGATGCCACTAGAGTAGCCTGACACTCAGTAGAAAAGGCCGTGTAGATTTGAAGAGATTGATGACAGTCAATTTTTAGGAAGTCAGTTACTCCAGCGAGGTGCACTGTAAGGGAGTTTGAACATGAAAAATCCATCTGCCCGGAAAATCAGGTTGGGAATCTAAAGAATCGACACTCCAGGAAAACAGTCGTATACACAATCTTATGCGGAATCGTCTGTGAATGGTCAAAGACTGCGGATAAAGAGAAGAAAAAAAGTTCAACTACCTTGACCTAGCGACGATTCAATAGATGCAAGCAAACATCGCATGCACATACCCTACGTCTGATTGTGGTCTACGGATACCCAATTTAGCGTCTAATGATACGCTTAATCGACTCAATTATTTGGTAAAATATGGCTGCGTTCGGTCTATTCAAACCAGCGTTATAACCATCAAAATACTAGCCAACCAAAGATGCAAGTGTAATAAGTGGTATGCTTATAAGCACAGCTGACAAGTCCATTATGGTACACAAGAAAAAATTCTTCTTGAGGGAAATCCTCAAACAAAAGAACAAGTTCACCTCCCCTACCTATGCCTCTGGAATTATTTGATAGTAAGAAGCCTTCAAAGAAAAAATCTTACTGAACATAATCTTCCGGAAACCTACTTAGTTTTCACGGTTGTGGTCACCATACATAACTACCATCGTGTGAGTAGACAATAGAAATCCTATTCAGGTGACAATAGGCTTGACAACAGATGGACTTTGTCCAACAACTGACATTCGATGAAATAAACATATTAATCCGACTGGGTTGTACCTATGTTGAACCAACCTAGTAATTACGACCAGCTAGTTCCAATACCTGTCGCCAGTGGGATCATCACAAAACTTGAGCGATGGCATTTGGTTGCCTGCATCAAACGAACAAGTCCAGGAAAAAATGTCCTGTCTTTATAAACTGCCAAAACGATTAGGCCGATTAACCAGTATCAAGCGGTGATCAGTGGGGGAGAGATGTAATCTCAAATAGCAACCTCATTTGTCTCCGCTTGCTAAATGTAGCGATATCAAACCACCTCTTTGTTGAGTTGGTTATCATGGAGTTTGAACAGTCCACAATTAACAAGTGGACCCATTTGACCAGGACTTCAAGGATGCAGCAACAAATGATTGTATTCAGAATTTACTTGAGTGTCCAGTCTGTCGTTTGTGTTAAATAGGTAAAAAGAGGTTGATAAATCTAACGAATGACTGAACAATGAAGTTGGCATATTATGAGTAAACTGAGGTGCTTTAGACTTATTTACTTAAAGTGTGGAGGACCAATCACTTCAGAGTGGATCCCGCACGGGTGAGTGACTTTGACCTGCGACAGATTATGCACACCTATTGACCATACGCAACCGTTAACAGTTAGCCTGTAAATTAACAAGGCGAAATTAACAGGCCTTCGATTCCTATGGGGAAACAGCACTTCGTAAGCAACTCATATCTGCTAGTAATGCATCGGGCTCATCTATCCAACTGAGAAACAATTTAAATTGTTACGAATACCGTTTCACAAGCAAGACTGTATAACAACACTTTCCAGAATTTGATCGCATGGGCGCTATTTTTAAGCAAACGGACAAGGAAATAACCATGGTGCTCTACATGTAACCTGGCTGATTTTTTCTCATCCAATCATGAGTCGAATTCTAACCGCCGAACAGTCATTCCACTAGAAAAAATACACCAGACCGTATCGATACAAAAGCACTTTGGTCGCATTCTCCAACAGGCCCCCGAGATGCTGCTGCTCTCCTTTTACGGCTTTTACCAGCTCTGTAATCCCATAAAAACCTAAATATTTATCACATAAGTGGTCTGTGGTTTTTACCAGTTAGTTAATCCTAAAGGATGGTGTGATAGACGTGTCAAATTTTCACCTGGCATGCTACATCTCACCGTATTCATGATTTATGAGTGCAGACTTATTTTATCCGAGTGAAACAAATAGAGTATCCAACAAAAATTAACCAACCAATCGTGTGAGGTGTTCATCCTAACTTAATTGTCCGGTTGCTGAGATAATTGTCTGAATGGCTCTAAATTTCTGCAAAATCATTGCGATCGATTGCCAAAAATTTCACCCACACAAAGGTATTCCCTGAGTTTATCGGAGAGATTAGTCCGAGTGACGATGCAACTCTTCTTAGGTACCAGTAAGATAAGATGCCTTCGTATATCGCAGTTTAGCAGCCGATGACTTCTGCTTAAAAAGCGTACGGGATTCTGATCAGCCATTTTTGACAGTCAATTAGGCTACTCGTGAAAAGTTAAGTAGTCAGACCTGCGATGAAGTATATCTACCAGCATTTAACTAAGAGATGTGGCTGTTCCCCTTGGGGGTCACACACTCGAAACTTCCTTCCCACACAGAGAGATAGCAAAAATACCATTTCATTGGGTTTTGCTGTCTGCATCATGTAGATAAACGGGTAGCAATTTCCGGCTCAAAATGAACGTTATCGTAATGTTAGTGTAACATATTTTACCTACTGGGAAGAAGTTTTTGGAATGCAGTGTCTACCCTGTAGTCTTCCGGCCACCAAGCGTCAGGTTCCTCACAATGGCGTCCTAATATTTGAAGGATCCGATTGTATTAAGTAGTGTCTGGGTTTGTTCATTTACTGAAGCGCTGGTTTAGTGCAGTCAAGCACACGGGAAGGATGTAGCTCTAAAATGTAAACATGTTCTCTGTATTTCCAAAAATTCGCGTGCCCTGCAGAAATTCCGCTTTCATAAGGTATGAATCGGCGATGAAGTAAAGTTTTCCTTTCAATTAACGGCTTTGACTATTTCAATGTTCTATGGAACCAGTAGAAGATCCCCAATAACCTTCCTTGGGTTTACGGAAAGTTACACATTGGAGAGATTTTCTGATAGTACGACTCACGATAAGGAGCATGCACATCACTTAGAATCCCGAAGATTCCAATGGAAAATATTAGGGAAAAAGTATGCAAAAAATTATAACCACAGTCTTACTTACTTGTTCTGCCATGGCTCGGATCATATCATCACGCATTTGTTCCAAGAACAGACTCCGTTTTTGTATATCCCGCTGTTCTGCAAGACGATCGGCTTCCACCATTTCCCGCTCAAGTGAAAATTCTTCTTCCTGTGTGTTGGATACAAATGAATTTTCACGGTGAATGGAAAAACAGCAATGTTTGAATACCATTCTCTTAAGGTGCAGCATACCTAATCCAAGATGACGGACACAAGTAATATGTGATCCTGGGCGGAGCTCCAAATTTAAGCGTTACACCAAATCACTAAGCAGCAGAAAGGTTAGCTGATTACCACAGAAACGTAATCCACAGGTTCGTATTCAATATGTTTTCTGGGTTTTACCCAAAATTTCAATTTGTAAATCAACAAACCACGAGTGTCCATGTTGTTTTTTGGAGTGCTGCCGTTTTCCCAGCAAAAATGCCTCCTAAAAGTAGAGTCCGAAGTGAAGTCTGCAAACAGTGTTACAGCTGTTTTATACGAATATTTTTGGTGATGTTTCAAGCTATGCAGCTTTGTGATGGGCCACAATTGAAATAAGTGCAAAAATAAAAAAGCTAGGAATTTCTTGATATAGGGTTTTATGGAGCTCATCTAGAGACGATGCACTTTGACAGTAGCTTGAAAAAAGGCGGCGGACAACAACAAGTTGACACTATAAAAACAGCTAAAGGTTTACGTTTATCCTCCAAAATTTCCATCATACTTCTTTTATAACAAGTGGAGTCACAAAAGCCCTAGAAACAGGCCGGTCGGTCTTCATACATACTGATAAGAGATTCGTTAATAGATTAAATTTTAAATTCAACCGTAAAGGTACGGGGATGACCTAATATATTTTTGTCTTTCAACTCCTGAGTCTTACCTTGTGTTGTGCGTTTCCCTGATTTTTCAGGCTATTCTGTGTATAATTACCACGCTTGGAACCGAAAACGTTTATGGCATCATATAATTCAATAAAGAGGGGATTTTTGGTTAAATACTTGAAGAATTCGGAAAAATTCATTCTTTCAATTTTGGATAGTTGAGAACGCAGTATGAGAGGAGGTCCTCAACTAAGAAATGACATCGTTTTCATTTCTAATAATTCGTCAAGTAGGAAATGTATTTTTAAGACACTGGCAAGATTTTCACTGAATAATATATCTGTTTTTATGTAGCACTGCTTTTATTACGAGAAAAACTCCCGCACGTTCTACTTCGGCTAGACCCAGTCGATCTTTTGTCACCCAGTGACTTCAAAGGTGTTGTTGATTCTATGGACCGTTAGGCACTATGGCAGTGTCTATGAAGCACATTTATCCACGTAAACTCGTAACACTCTGTAAGAGGCTGTACACTAACTCCCGCGGACCTGCAAAGTTCAACGAGATGTTCGCGCCTGAGTTCACCACATCAAGCGGTGCCAGGCAAGGCGGTATCCTGTTTCGACTTTCTTCTGCAACTATGTCAATGATACTGCAGGGTCGAAGTGTTTCCGGATCATTTGCTCACAGATATCGACAACACAGACAACTTGGCCCTTCTTGGATCTGATTCCGTCGTAATACAGACTACACTAAATAATTTAAATAATTCTGTCTTACGGTTTGACATGTGCTTCATATTCTCGAAGTGTAACATGTTGCAGCAGAACTGTGTGGGCTTAAACCGTAACCCCGTGCCTGCGGATGAGCCAGTTGAAGTAGTAGACAATCTGGTCTGAATTGCCAGCTGTAGCAGTCCTAGCGGTTTCGTAAAAGATGATATTTCCACCCGGATCAGGAGGGCCAGAGTAGCTTCCGTGAACCTGCGTCACCTGTGACGTGGGCGTAACATCAGCGTAAAATTATTTCAAGGATTCAGTTCAATGTGCCATATTGCGCTTCGTACTATTATGTGGGTCAGAAACCTAGAACGCCGTGCACTGAAGACGTCAAAATATTTTCATTATTTGATCATCAAGGTATTCAGAGCATTGCTGGAGTGTGGTGAGAACATCGTGGAAGTAATGTTTGTCGAAGTACTATATCGCCCACGATAGATGAACTGGTCGCACTCCACAGGTTGCGCTTGCTTGGTTACGCTGTTATGGAGGCTGACTGACTTCCTCGAATGGCTTTTTCTGAACAGCCACGCGAAGGATAAAAATGAGTCAGGGGAGGGCAACTAAACCCAGCTGCGCTGGTCATTACCGTCGCCCTAGATAGTGAACTCGAGGCAGGACATATCAAGGATTAGAGACGTTGACGTCCTAGTCACGCCCCAAGCGGTGCTCATGTTGTTGTCTTTGGTGCGTAGGTGCCCTGTCGATATCCAAATAAAAGGTACACCGACAACCCTGTATTGGCGCATCAATTGTATTAGCTTCCACTTTCACTGCACAGTTTTCTACCCCACCTCCCGAAATCATCGACAAGCAAAGCTATGGCAACTGTACGGAAAGTATAGTGTTTTACATCCGATGAGAATGGTGAGAATGACAACTGGTTCACTAGTGTTCAGAGCGAATCCCATGAACCTATGGATGGTCTGCAACTTCAGTAGGACCAGTGAAAAATAATTTGAATTTATTCATAATTAAAGCATTTGTGTAAGTTAACCGCATTCTCATATTCCTGTTATGAAACAGGTTGAAAATGTTCAGATATCTCAGCAAACAGGTTTCTTATAACTTAGACTGTAGTTTTCAAAGAGCGGGTTGAAAAAGTGTGATTGTAAACGCCAGAGTAACTGTAATAGAATCCTACATTTAGTGAAAACATTTCACTTTTCCGAAGATGTTGGGCTTTCGGGTAGAACTTGGATTGTGCCTAGCTTTGATAGAACACTCGAATTCTTAGCTAGAATCCGTGGAATGAATACCTGGACCTTATAGTCGTCACATACGTACACCTGGCAGCATGGCACGCAATTTATACCTAATACCATTTTAAACTGCCCAATTTCATGAACGTCTCAACTTCATAAGTTTATCCCCCGTCAGTGACACCCAACTTTATTCAGCGCTTCTACATTTTGCGTTAACATGTCCATCTTGCCTAGTATCAGCAAAATTCTACGAGAACCGAACTCATACATTCTTTTTGGTGTCTTTGAAATTAAACTAGGACACCATTGCATGATGAGGGGGACAGATCCTTAAATTAGCCGGGAAACATAAAGTGACGGTTGTATGTAATGCAGACTAAGACTTTCGAATTGTATGCAGTACCCAGTCGTAGCAATGTAGATTTTTGTGGGTTCCCAACCGAAACAGAAGGTTGGCTTGTTGTTGTGCAAAGTAGCGGTGGTTGTTGTAAAGAAGTAGCACGTTGGATACCCTGTCGTTCACCTTGGGATGAATCCAAAGTGAAGTGTTGATTAGGAGGTTTCATCAGATGGGAAATCACTGAAAGCTTACCCTGTTTATGGATAACGAGTTACAATATTCATTTAAACTGACCGTGCCAGCCAACAAAATACTTGGCCATACAAGGGGTAAAGCTGAATGAGAAATAGTCATTGGCATGCTCTAATTAGTACCCAGATTTGTTCGACAAGATTCCTTCTTGGTTCTAGTGCTGAGTAACAACTTGTATATGTTCTTCATGAAATAAAGAAGGGTGTCACATACCTTATTCATTTCCGCTTTTCGCTGCTACAGAGTTTCATCACGGATTTTGATTCAGTACATAACTTGACTCGCTTGGCATTGATGTGTGCCTTGTCTCAGAAACGAGAATTCAAGATGCAAGCACAGTGATTGAGTTAACCGCCCCGTCAGTCTCCACTCGCTTCCG